CTTTCCCCGCCAATCATCTCATACAGGGTGGGAAGAGTGACAATCTACCAACCAATCAAGGAATGAGACCTTTTTTACATTATTTCGAAAAAAAAAAGGTGGAGGGAGATTCGCGAATCTCCCCTGTAGCGGACCCACCAGGTGTGGTGCTCCGCTAGTGACAGAGATGGAGATGGAGGAAGAAGGAGGGAGCAAGGTGCACAGCGCAGCTCCCCACGCAAGACTCCAACGCACGTACTCCAAAATGTGCAAGTGAAGAATGAGGCTGAAAACAGACAACTGCTGGGGTATACACCAGCGGACTTACGGGACTGGACTGGACTGGCTGGTACCGACAGGTACCGGGCCGGACTGGACTGGACTGGACTGCCCCCGAATAGAACACAGGCCTGTGAGAACAGGCCAAGGGGCTGGTCTCACAGGCCACCCAACCAGAGGTCCGCTACACGATCCTCGGCCTGTGATGGATCGCCTAGATACAAACACGCTTCCGTCAAGAAGCGGAACTCTACCAAAGAAAAAGAAAAACCTGAGTAATCTAGGATGCGGAGCAAGCTCCATGCTGAGTCCATGCGATGCAACCTAGGCTAGAAAATGTCACAAAACAGCAATGTCACAGCTAACAGCCTAAGAAAAAGCAGAAGCAACTAACTAGCATACATGTCCTAGGAAAGCAAAGCAACTAACTAGCATACATGTCCTAGGAAAGCAGGAAGTGGTGACAACTAGATCCTAGAATGTTGGAGGCAGTAGCCTCAGTCTGGTAACAGCTGACTAGTGTATAAGTCCTAAGAACAACAAAAGCAGAATAACTAAATCCTAGAAATGTCAGAGGCAGTAGCCTCAGTCTGAGAGCAACAAGCAACAACAAGTCAACCATATATCACAGGAGGGGTGTGTCGCAAACCAAAGGGTGGGATGGTCTCTGAGGGTGGCGAATGCAACCTAGGGGTCGAAAACTCCTAAGGGCATCCACATATAGATAACAGGGAGACACATGTCATCAGGCTCAATGAGGGTAGGGAACTGGGAGCGAGCAGAACCAATGACCCTAACAGATAGACCATCGGGGCGGGTAAAGCTCGACTAAGGGGTGACCGCTATGGAGGGTCGACCAAGCAAGGGAGCAAGGGAGCCTGGTATACTAGGCGCACCTAGATGAAGCATGCGGGGCTGCCTAACCAGGGTGTGAGGGCCGACAGAGGGTAGAAAGGTGATAGGTAAGGGAATCATGTAGATGACTCCTAAGGTGGGGAAGTCGGAGCTAAATCCGTAAGATAGGAATCCAAGGCAACGCTACGGTCCCGATGCCTATGCGTATACCAAGGGAGAACCCAACTCAGAGGAACCCGGCTAAAGGGAGACCATCATGCGACACAAGAAGGGTATTGTACAGGGTAAAGTGGTAAAAGAGTGGCGACGTCTGAAGTAGGCAGAGTTGATCGTGACGAAGTCCATGAAGCTGCGGATGACGTCCACGATGAGAAGTCTGGAATGTCGTCGAGGAAGAGCCGTAACGTCGACGAGCTGAAGTAGCAAAACTGGAGTGGATGGAGTACTGAGAAGTCAAGGACGTGGGAAGGTAAGTCAGAGTCAATCGTCGTATCGAGCAGGACGACGACGAGTGCGCTGTGGACGCTCAGAAGCATCCGGCTGCTGCTGAAGGTCTGCCTCAGATGGAGCAGGCTCGACTTCAGCGGTCTCCTCAACCGGGGGAGAAGGAGGAGGGTCAGTGGGCTGAGGAGGAGCAGTGAACCCAACACGAGGAGCACGGTCATAGGCACGCACCAACATGCGAGTGTGCTGCAAGTGCTCGAGGGGCTCCCAGGTAGCCTCCTCATCAGGGTAACCCTTCCAACGTACGAGATACTCGACATGGGGAGGGTTGTCGTCGGTGACTCGGCGACCAATGATGTCCGAAACGAGGAACTCCTCGTGGCCATCCACCATGATGGGTGGAGGGCGCTCGTATGGTCGTCCAGCGAAACGCTTAGACGGTCTGCGGTAAGGACGCAGTAACGAGACGTGGTAGACATCGTGCACACGAGCCTGGCGTAGGTAGTCGGGCAGCTTCACACGGAAGCTGACCGGGCTAGATGCCGTGTCAGAACTGACGGCCTGGAGGATACGGCATGGGCCAAAGAAGCGACGACGAAACTTGCGAAGCGTGTCCGCTTCGAGCTGTAAGTGGCGGGCGTCGATAAGCACGTCATCACCGACTTTGAATGGGTGGTCCATCCTCGATCGGTTCGCATGTGCTGCCATGCGAGTCTGGGAAGCGGCTGTGTGCTCATGTGCGGTCTTCATGATCGACGTCATGTGTGCAACCCAATCATCGAGTGCGGGACAATTCGTGTCGGGGTGCATTTGTGATGGTCGAAGGAAGTCCGCAGGAACACGAGGGTGATAGCCGAGGTCGCAATAGTAAGGCGACATCCCCGTGGCTGGGGAGACGGCGTGGTTGTAGGCTATCTCCGCATGGGCAAGATGGAGGTCCCACTGCTGGTCGTCACGAACAATCTTTCAGAGAATATCTCTGAGAGTCCTGTTCGTGATCTCGGTCTGACCATCAGTCTGAGGATGGCAAGACGAGGAGAAGCGGAGCTGAGTGCCGTATACCTTGTGGAACCGTCGCCAGAATCGGTTGGTAAAGTGCGGGTCACGGTCAAATATGATGCTGAGAGGTAAGTCGTGGTTACGCACGACTCGGTCAAACATGATGTCGGCGACCTCACGTGCTTTGATAGCATAGCAGCACGAAACAAAGCGTGCACGCTTCGTGAAGCGGTCGACGATGACCAGGGTAGCATCATGACCACGGGGGGTCGGAGGTCGAAGAGGACCGATAAAGTCCATCGACATGGACTGCCAACGACCCTCAGGGATAGGAAGAGGCTGGAGCAAACCATAAGGCAGGTGGTTCACACTGTTCACCTCCTGACAGGTGGGACACTCTGCGACGTAGTGGAAGCCCACGTCTTGTGGAAGCCCATATGACCACACGAGCCAACGTCTTGTGGAAGCCCATATGACCGGCGGTTGCCTGGTCATGGAACTCTGCTACTGCTCGGACACGTAGCTGTCCAGTGGAGGGAACGCAAATACGGGGCTCTCTGGTGCCCTGTGAACTGTGCCAATACACGAGACCGTTATCCCCGAGAAAGTAATTCGGGACGGTCTTGCCACTCCGAAGGGTCGCGTGGATGTCGCGATAGTCGGGGCAGTGGCGGTACTGAGTGCGAAACTCGTCGATCACCGAGTGGTGGACGGTGGTAACCGAGATGGAAGAGAGCTGGATCTGCTCCTGATCGTGGTCAAGGCACTGGGATAAGGCATCTGCGACCCGGTTAGTCTCACCCTTGATGTGCTCAGTGGTGAAACTAAACTCGGATAGGTCGCGCCACCAGCGAGCCTGTCGAGGAGTGAGCTTCGGTTTGTCAGAAAAGCCTGGACAACAGAGTTGTCCGTACACACCGTGAACGGTGCCCCATGCAGGTAGTGACGCCAGTGCCGAGCGGTATAAACTACTGCGAGAACCTCACGTTCATCAGCAGTGTAGTTTATCTCGGCGGGCAGGAGCTGACAGGAGTTGAAGGCTATCGGACAATCACCTGAGCGAGACTCGACAGTGCCGTCCTCGGCGATGGTAGGAGAATAGTCAATAGAAGGCTCGTCAGTAGCTGTACGAGTAGGCGTCAGTCGAGAAGCAGTGGTAGGGGTAGGTGGTGGGAAGCGAGGGATACGGGGATGAGAGGAATCAGGAGAGGAGGGGAAGAGCTGAGAAAGCACTGCTCCTACAGCAAAGTCTGACGCATCGGTGGTAAGGATAAAAGGGCGATCAAAATCGGGTAGCTGAAGAACCGGTGCACATGTCACCGCCTTCTTGAAGGCGCGGAAGGCGTCCTCGTGGAGGGGTGTCCAAGCCCAGGGTGGGTTCTTCTGGAGGAGGGTGGAGGTAAGGACGTAGGAATACCTAGCGTATCCCCGGATGAAGTTACTATAGTAGCTGGTCAGGCCTAGGAAGCTGCGAAGCTCCTTGGCGGATGTGGGAGCGGGCCACTCCGCAATAGCAGTGATCTTCGCGTCATCCATGTGGAGACCCTGGTCAGACACGTAATGTCCTAGGAAGTCCACTTTGTGCTGGGCAAAGCGGCACTTGCTGAGCTTGGCGTAGAAGCCATGTCTGCGCAAGCGGTCAAGGACGTCGCGGAGGTGTCTGAGGTGCTCCTCAAGGGTACGACTGTAGACCAGGATATCGTCGAGGTAAACGAGAACGTACTGCTCCATGATGTCCCTGAAGATGTCGTTCATCGCCCTCTGGAAGGTGGTGGGTGCGTTGGTGAGGCCGAATGGCATCACCGTAAACTCGTAGTGACCGAAGCGCAATGGGAACGCGGTCTTCGGCTGGTCGGCTGCAACGACGCGGATCTGATGGTAACCGGTATGAAGATCAATCTTCGTAAAGAAGCGGTTGCCTGCTATACGGTCGAACAGCTCATCGGAAGCATGGGGTAGTTCTTCTTAACCGTGTAGCGGTTGAGACCACGGTAGTCGATGCAGAGACGAAGAGTTTCATCCGCTTTGCGAGCAAAGAGGACGGGTGCAGCCCACGGGGAGTTGCAAGGTTTAATGAAACCCAGTCTCAGGAGCTCCTCAAGCGGACGCTTGAGTTCAAAGGCCTCGGGAATCGAGAGTCTGTAGGGTGCCTGGTGGTGAACACGATAGTCAGACACAAGCTGAATGGAGTGCTCGACGTCACGCATCGGTGGGATGCCGGCGTACGAGAACGACGATGGGAAAACGTCATGGTACTCTTGGATGAGGTCACGAAATGCAGGCTCCAGGTCAGCCGTATATCGTGCGAGTTCCTCAGCGTCAGCATCAGCGCGCGACAACGGAGTGGACTCGACGGACGACGGAGAGACGGAAGTAGAGATGGGAGCCATGGAGATAGAAGGAGGATCTGGCTCCAAAGGGATGAGCTCGGCGTCGGGACAGGGTGGATCATAGTGTAAGAGATCCGTCACGTTCACCATAAAGAAGGTGACGTCGTCCTGTCGGATGAAGTGGGCGAACTGCCGAGGCGAGGTGACAGTGATAGAAGGAGATGGTGTGGGCACGGAAGGCTCCGGGGGAGGAAGATCGGGGCGTGGTGTCGCGGTGGTACCTATGAAAGGTACGCGATACGTCTGTCCACACTTCATTTTGAGAACGAGAGTGTTGGTCGCCCAATCGGCCTCGGTGCTGCGGAACCGACGAGACCACGGAGTGCCGAGAATGAAGTCGTACCCCGTCTCCATCACATCGAAATGTGCAGAGGAGAGGTGGCGACGAGATGCCGGGGGACGATCAGTCGGTTCGAGAGTGAGGAAGAGAGGGAGCTCGGTGACTGTCTTATCGAAGAAGCGTTGGGTCTTGTCATCCCCTAGGGTAACGGAGATGGGAGTCGGAGACCGTATCGCGGGTAAGCGGGCTTCTTTCACCACGCGTGGGTGAATGAAGTCGCCCTGAGTACACCCTCGTGGAGGTCCCGAGTCGTACTGGGATGATCGGGAGGGTGCGATCAGGGTCAGAGAGGATAGCGAGAAGGCGACACAGTGCATGGAGGGTGAGTCGCTCCTTATGAGCCAGGAGCATGCTCAAGTCCAGAAGAGAGGACACGACGTCCTCGTGAGTAGCGAGCTGCTCGCTGCAACGGGCTGAGCGAATGGCTCGACGCGTCGGTAAGCGCGGCGGGGAAGGAGGGGCGACGGTGGTCTGCGAAGGCGCAGACGGTACTCCGACAGAGGGCTGAGTACACTTTGTCGAGTCCTGCGATACCTCAACTCTAGTAGCGAGAGGGGCGAACCGCGACGGAGATGTCGGGAAGCCCACTACTGAGGAGGGCGCAGGTGTACACTGCACCGTGGCTAGGAGGCGCCGCGGGAGTGCGAGGTGCCGGCGGGGGACTGAGCACGACGCTGGCGGGAAAGGTCAGCGTAGTGGCGGTCGAGGGCGGTAGTGTAAGGGCACCGCGAGGAGGTATGACCGTCCAAGCGGCAGCGCAAACACCCACGTCGGCCCATAATAGCTGCTCGCTCCTCAGCAGAAAGGACTCCGCGAGGAGGAACAAAGCCCTGAGGGAGGTCCTCCTGAGGGACCTCGAGGGGCGACGCGCCAGCGTGACCAGGACGGCTGCGTGCCCGGGAAAGGGTGGAAAGGATGAGCTGGAGCCGCTCAGCCATAGGGAGAGTAGGGTCCTCCAGGTGGTGCTGGACGGCATCGTCGAGGTCGAGATCATCGCTATGATCACCCTCTGGCGACTGCGAGGCACTAGCGTCCTGCTCACCATACTCGAGCGCGCTGAAGCGGCGCGAGAAGTGGCGGCCCTGCTGCGCGGAATGGCGGGGGTGACCGCGGAAAGAGGAACGACGCTGGAAACTGCCGTGAGAGGAGGAGGCGTAACCCGTGCGCTGAGGCTGGGAGGAGGAGGCGGGGTGAAGACGGGCTCGCATCCGCTCATGGTTCCTGGCGGCCTCGTAAGTTTACGGGGCCGATGTGAACTCGTACCGCCATAGCTCGAAGCGGTACTTGAGCGGGAGGCTGGCCAAGAAATGATCGATAAGGGCAGCCTCGGGAAGGAACGCCACGTCACAAACGAGGCGGGCGCCCTGAAAGACCTGGATATGGCGATCCAGGCCGGCAGCGCCACCCGAGCCGGACCAGCGTGTAGTGACGACACGCTCGAAGGCGTCAGTCACGTCATATCGGGTTCCGAAGCGATCCTTGCGGAACGCCTGGAAATTCATGAAGGTCGGAGTCCGACCCGCACACAGGGAGTAAGCATAGAAATCCTCCAAGGCGTTGAAAGGAGCACCACGCAGGCGCGTGGAGAGGTGACCCACCCACGTGCCGGGTCTGGCGCCCATGAGCTGAAGCGTGCGGGTGGCAGCCTGCAGCCACCTAGACACGCGTATGCCCGTACCGTCATACAAGCGAATGTCTGACAAGCGGATGAGTGGTGCGCCACCGTTTTGGCAGCGAGGGGAACGGGAAGCAGGGGACTGCGCTACGGCGGAATAAGTTTGCGCAGGTCCTGGAGGAGGAGGCGCAACTGACTGTACGCCTGGGCCGCATGGTGGAGCGGCGGGGGAAGTAGCGGCAGGCTGCATGGAAGCTGCGGTAGAAGAGGTCGCAGCCACCGAGGGGATGGGGAGGAGGTAGGATGGAGATTGGTAGGGTGCAGGGCGAGGGAAGCGAGCTTGCATGGAAGGAAGAATAGAGGAAGAAGGGGGTGCGCCGGAAGGCGCGGCCACCTGTGAGGGTGGGGGTGGCTGAAGGCGTGAGAGGGCGAGGTCGTTCCGGAGCCGGGCGACTTCGTCCTCGAGACCTCGAACGTAGGTCGAGCGAGGTGTGGCAGGGGGAGACGCACGAGCGGCGTGAGGCATCTTACAAGGGGGAGAGCCAGATAGCGCTGCGGTCGTGCGAAGAGGGGGGAGAAGTGGAGCACCCGGAAAAGTTGAGACCATGGTAGCGGGTTGTGGTCCCGTGGCTGTCGTGACCGGAATCTGGACGGGTGCGCCCGTGGACTGAGGGAGGGCCTGACTCGTGGCGGTCGTCGTGCTAGATGCATGGACGGTCACCAAGATGGCCGCGTCGGGGGCAGCGGAGGAGGAAGCTCCACCGTGGCCACCCTATCGAAAGGCGGGGGACCCAGACTGGGAGCCAGGAGAAGAGATAGGGTGAGGAGGAAAGGAAGACCAGCGTCCTGGAGTTGCCGCACACCGGCGGCAAGGGTCGCCACCTGCGCCTGTAAGGGCGCGAGGGTCGCGAGTTGCGCCTGGATGGGCGCCAGGAAGGAGGTGAGGAGGGTGTGCAGATCCCCCTGGGGCTGATGGCCCTGGTCCGCCGGCACGGGTGTGGAGCCCGATGCCGCGGTCATCGCCGTGTCGGCGGTGTGTGACACACCGTCAGCCATGGGGAGATGACGGACTGGACAGGAGGGGGCCAGAAGAGGTCCGCGTGAGCGGAGGGCATAGGGGGAAGTCCGCGGTACAAAACGAGGAACGGCGCTAGCAAGGCTAGCGCGGGCGCCATCAAAGGGGGAGGGGTGGTTCGGGTCCAGGGTGTCCGAAAAGGATGGGGAAGTAGGGGGGTTTTGAGGAACCCTAAACCCTACAAAAACCCTAAGGAAAACCCTAACCGAGGTTTAAGTGGTTAGGGTAGGGTACCGGTGACCTAATCAGGAAAGTAAAAGAGCAAGCATAGGGGGGGGGGGAAGGCGGGAGAAAAATAAATAAACAGCGAGATTTCGAAAGAAAATAAAAATAAATAAGAAAATAAATAAGTAATAAAAATAATTAAAAAAATAAGTAAAAGGATGGAAAGGGAAAACAATATTTATTTTTTAAAAATTTTCGGCAGCATTTTCCTACCCCCCACGGGGTCAAGAATGTGCCAAGGGAAAAGGAGAGACCAAGGTGGGCACACTACAGATACCGCAAATAATTTTTAAAAAAGTCTGAAAATAAATAAATAAATAATAAATAAATAAATAAATAAATGTGTGAGGAGGTGGGGTGAAATGGGTTATCTGATTTTTCAAAAAATTTGGCAACATTTCGTTACCCCCATGGGGTCGAAGTGTGCCAAAAAGACTAAGTAAGAGAAAATCAGAAAATTTCGGCAGCACTTCGTTATCCCCACGGGGTCAAAACGTGTGCCGAAAGCAAAAAAGACTAACACCTAATCAGATTTAGGGTTGCCGCCAAAAAATTCGAATTTTCAGAATAAATAAAAATAAATAAAATAAATCAGAAAATAAGAAAAGAGGGTGGGGAAGAAGATGACAAAACTAACAACTAATCAGATTTAGGGTTGCTGTAGAGAAAATTGAATTTCCAGAAAAAAAAAAAAAAAGAATTAAATGAGTCAGAAAATCAGAAAAGAGGGTGGGAAAGAAGAGATTTCGAATTTTTGGAAAAGAGAAAAGATAAATCAAAAGAGAGGTGGAAAGAAGAAAAAACAGAAAAAAATTCGAAGTAGGGGGGAAGGGGAATGAAAAAGTGAAAGAGAAAAGAAAGAAATAGGTGGGGGGAGAGAAAAAAATAAAGTGGGAGGTAGGGGGGGATGGTGTAATGGTAATTGGGGGAGAGGAGGGATGGGGAAAGGTGGACAGGGATCAAGAAAGAGAGACAAAGAAGGAAAGAAAAGAAGAGATGAAGAAAATAAAGTAAAAGAATGGGTGGTGGGAGAAAGAAGGGGCGGGAAAGATAAAAGGAGGAGAGAAAAAATGCAGCAGAAGGTGGGGGAAAGAGAAGGGGTGAATAAGAAGAGAGAGGAGAGGTAGGGAGAGTGGKTTAGTAGAGGGAGAGGGGAGAAGGGAGTGATACCTGGCCCTTGGTCCAAGGGCACAAGGTACACCAARACCAGGAGGGTCTTGGTCTTCGCTGCAACAACCAGTTGGAGGAGAGAGGGGGGTTGAGATCTTGATCAGCCCCCAGTAGCACTTCTGCAGATGTGCAGATCTAGGGTCTGCTATGCGAGCAGACCCTCAGCACTGTAGAGCAGCCCCCTTGAGCACGGGAGTCTTCAGT